ACGAACGCAACTACCACCGGTTACTGTTCCCCTCGTGTCTCCCTTCGTTTCGGGATGCCGTACGACATCCCCCACACCCCGCCGATATATTCAGCACACCAACAAGCAACGCGACCAACTACCCATCCATCCATCCCTCCCTCTTACGGCCACCCCGTGACAACGGATGTGCGAACGCAAAGAAATCGCTTGAAAGTTAATCATCGCCCGGCATAAGTACGATCGATCGCTTTTATGCAACCCGATGAATTCCAACGATCCCGTTCGCGGACCGTTTCCTCCGCGTTTTACGCGCGTCTGTTGCTTGCGTACACTGTTGCAGTGGAAAAGGAGATACACTATTCGCAGATGGATTTCTTTTTTGGAATGGAGAGGGATGATTTTCGCTTCCGCGATGTTTGATGTAGTTTGCGTGAATAGAAATTGACGGAGAGAAAGGAGAATGATCATTTTTGCGAGGATGTTGAGGAGTTTAGTTCATGTTTTTCATTGTCCAGCTGTAGTGTGGAATTAATAGATGAAAAAAAGAAAATGTCGCGTTAACCTTTTAGCTACGACGGGATTAACCGCGAAGCTATACCTCTGTACGGTAAGGTTTGACACGGCCTACATGTCATAAATGCAATATCACTGCGATGTGAGACTGATAGAATTCTCCACTGTGCGATCACGTTGGATTAGATTATAAGGTGCACAACTATCGATAACAGAGAAAAATTTGTGCCGTTATAGTGGCGTATCATTTAAAAAGATGGTATACCCAAAAGTGACTATAGTGGCGTATAGTAAAAGGTTAATACAATTTCAATGTAGATAAAATATGAGCAAATAAAATATAAAAGATAATTCAACGTGGAATTTGAAAATATATTTGCTAATGCAATGAAGTATAAAACAGTTGTAGTTTAATGTAATTTGTACATTTGCATTCATGTTTTTAAAAACAGGAGATAAACGGTGAAAATCGATTCTGGATTCGGGAAAACTGGTTTTTCAAAGAATTCAACGAGTATTTAAACACTTGAAATAAGGGTTAACTCAAGGAATGATAAACAATTTCGGAAATGAATAATTTTATTATATTTGGAAGTCATAACATAACCTTTTAAAGATTTCTGCATATGATAAGACAGAGATTAAATAAGTTTTTATCTACTTCCTGTTTCGTAGAAACCAATCTACAAAAGATTTTCTCTGCTAACGAAAAGACTAGAAACATTCAATTCATCAATCGCTAAATAATTATCTCAATACGATCGCTTCGAAGAGAAATTTTTTTCAATAAAAATTCAATTCTCGCGGTACACACAGCACACATATCGTCGTTGATATTTCACCTGTCGTATATCCTCCTCGCTCTCTTTTATCTGTAGCACAATAACCAATTTTTCAGAAGCAATGAAAACATAGGAACGAAGTGAAACTGTTTTCCTTCTTTCTGAACTTGAATATTGGATTCATTAAAGCAATTTCCAATCGTGAAAAAATCGGAGAGCCATGAGAACATTTGCGTGAGAGGATATCAAAGAACAATTGAAATGAAATGATAATCGTGATCACGAGTTAAAGAGCAGCGACGGAACAGCTCGAAGTTCCAATAAATATTTGATGCCCGATGTTCGTGAGAAATAGCTGGACACTGAAAACTGTATGTATTCTGGTTTTCGATGGGAAATCGCTCCCTTTCCATTCATCATTCTCCCCTAGCAACGCCATAGTCTCCCACGGTGACTTTTAATTTTCCTCCATATCCGACAGATTTCATGACTCAACGCTCACACTATGAATAATTCGATAACTTGAATCAATTTTTCTGTACAATCATCTCAGCGTAAGTTTCGTATTATAAAATGCAATTTTTATTATGTTCATTATTAATTCGTTCATATTATATCTCTTCCTTCGAGAATACAACGAGTAAATATAATGTACGATACAAAAGAAGACTGACATTTTTAATCCATTGAGGGTTAACGGTGTTACATAAAAATAATACCATAAATCTATACGCATTGAAAAAATAAATTGTGCATTAATTTTGCTTAAAAGTGACTAAAGTAACAAAAAAAGTAAAACTAATATGTAAACTTATAACATTTCTTACTTTTCTTGAAATATCTGATTAAGTTTTGAAATTTGTAGCCTGAAATATTTAATTACTCTAAAAAAAAAATTGTAATGGATTTAACACGAATAATTGTAATTGGAAAGTAAAAAATATCATTAACGAAAGTAAACAAATTGTATTCCATTTAATTAATATTTAAATTATTGCATGTACTGTCAAATATTAAAAACGGATACCTATAGTGCAATTTTTCATACGAATGAATTTTTTTTCAAATATTCTTAATTACTTTTTGGAAAATGATAAAACTGTTCTCGAAATTACGTTTTCTGTGAATTCAAATCCTCACAGTTCCAACTTCAAGCTATACTCTCTCGCTGCTCCAAAAATGATTAACGACTGAAAATATTTTCTCAGTTGAAGCACACAGTTCAGAGTTTCAGTTGACTCGGCGGAACGCAAACAAAGTTCTATAGTCTGTACGTTTCTGTAAAAAATTTCTCATGTTGCTGCTACACTCGATATTAAAATATTAAACAGGAAAGTATTGTTAATATTACAAAAATAACAGACTACCCCGAGTTTTGAACAAGTGAACCTAAGAGACCGCTGCTTCAAATAAAGTACTACCCTTTGTAATAAAGAACATATGGTCACCGAACCTATGGTTAGAACGGACATTATCGGGTTGTTGGAACTAGACGCAACTATCGATCAAGACGGAATCGCCTCGCGTGTCCGACGAGTAAACTATCAACCCATGAAAAAAGAAAAAACAATTTCCTCTCGAATTAGACACTATCTTCTATATTATTGGGTTGACATAGGAGCGTTGGAAATCCTTACAATAGAGGTTGTTGCGGTTGCGAAAGGATATTGCGTTAAAAATTTAAATAAAACATCATCGAGCCGCGATATACACTTCAAACTTCAGTTCGTGTTTTCAAGATTCTACCCTACTTGTTCAACGGTAATAGAACTGGATGACCTGCAGTTATCCCGCCTATCACTTTCAATTTTTTTTTTTTACGTAAATCGCTGCTACTTTAACCACATTTTATGACAATCTGCTACTGTGCGTGTTGCAACATGCCAGAACTCTGCAATATTATATGCCTTTCCCTGCACTTCTATAACCTAAGCTGGGATTACTCGCATGTTTCTCTTTGAATTTTTATACAGACAAATGGCGAAGTGCCCGGCTACCGCAACCCATCGAGCCGTTGCGTTGTATTATAACTAGACTGCGGGTGTTTATGCGAATTCACAATTCTACATACTAATGCGTAGAAAGACGGTTGGATGTAATTTACGGTGCTAATACCAATATACATACAATGTTAATTTTGTTTTAAATATTCATTCTACGGCATTTTGCTGATCAACATGTTGCTATGAATTTGGAAACATTTGCAAAAATGTGTAATGATATTTTCAAAACATGAAGTTACTCTCATTATTTTTCTTATATTTTGTACCAATGAATTTCCGTCCCGAATATTCTTTATGTTGAACTACCGGCGCAAAATTAAATATCCTGATAACTGATTTATGATTTACCGTAATATATATATGATTTCGAAAAATATGCGGTTGCGTTTATTGAAAGATGAATTTAAAACACGGGAAATTATTTAATATTGCGCAACCATCGCGTTTACGGGAATTTTTGAAAATGGTTATTTTTAACTTGAATAAAAGACTTTTGTGTCGTGTATGTACAGCATTACCTGGATATAGTCTTACGCTTACGGAAGATATAATAATAATGAGATCTGCATGCTATTATACTAAAAAAATACAATAATTAATTTTGTGCACTCTGTCCACATTGAAATGGGTTCCTTATATTACGAAACATCGTTTACATAAAAAATTCACGATTTAATATCATGACATCTTGTTTCATGTAAACTATTAATACGTTGTTGCACGAATTATTAAATTAATATTAAAGTTATGCCATTTCTTAAAACTATTATTAACCTGTTAACTGTTGCATTTAATTTCAAAAATCTCTGATAACGCAATAAAATCGAATAATGACGTGTATACTCGTCAAACGCAGGCGAAATGCACCTATAATATATTTTAACGAAACACTAAAGCAAACCGAAGAAAAATTAAATATTTATCCGAAAAAATAAATAATTGATTGTTGAAGGAATTAGTATCATTTTGATTTTCAGATAACGTGTGTAGTCGAACGCAGTTAACTGGTTAAGGTTCAGTGTTTTCGTCTGCTTACAGTATTCTTATTAAGAATGAAATAATTTTGAGATTATAAATACGCGAGCATTTAGCAAATTACGACTTGATATACAGAATGGTGATCCAGGACGACCTAAACGTGTTAAACGGTTCACTTTGGGCGCGGAAAAGGTGTCAGCGGATTGGATTAAGACTGTTGACGAAAATATAATGCCTCTGATCCACGATCAGGTAATAAGGAGCACCTGCTTCGAGACCAGGAGACGCTATATACATATAACGAGCACACCCTGTGTATTTTCTCTGACCAGTTACGGTTCCGTCTTGTTCCGGGCAAGCGGATACAAAGCCCAGGGGTTCTCAAATGTGCGACAGTCAAATAAAAAAAATGCAATTGCCTGCATTTCTCCTGTTTTATTTTTAACCCATTGTAGTCGTATGGCCAGCTAGTCTGGACATTCAATTTTATTCTAATATATACTTATTTCAACA